CCAAGGGAGGGATGGCTGGTGCCAAAACTAGTAAAAAGACTGGGGGGAGAGGAGGCATGTCAGACCTGCACCTTATACGAATCAGCTTTGGGCTGTTGATGCTGATGGCAATTCTCTCTGCCTCTTGTGAAGTTAGAGGTCAGATGTCACCACTGTAACATTTTCAGTTTCCAACACTAGAGCGGGAGAAAATCACTTGGCCCAGAGAGTGAAGGGGATTGAAGGCCCTGTCCCTACTCACCTTGGTGTGTCCAAGGCCCGGATGACAGTTGAGAAGAGCCGGCCATCCCTCGACGTCACCTGTGCCACATACTGGGGTGGCCCAAGGCCTGTGGACTCCACGACCTTGGAGAAAGCAGGGCTGCTGGAGCAGTCGCACAGGGAGCCTGGGAGGTGGCAGCAGTCACCCGTCGTCATTGCCACAAGGAGTCCTGCGTCCTCAGGGCCCGAAGCCCATGGTCCCAGGGAGAGGCTGGCAGGGAGGGGAGGGGAAGGGTAAAGTTTTGATAAGCCAGGCTGACCAGGGTTCAAGTCCAGCTCTTGGGACCACAGACAAGGACCTGCTTGTCTGAGCTTCAGTTGCCCACTCTATAAAACAGGGCTCCTGGAGGGCTGTAAGGTTTCAGTGAGATGATGCAACTCAGCCCTGGCCTGGTGCATGTTGGACTGGGTTAATAATACCTCTAAAGCTCTCAACAAAAGCCAGCCTAGGTCCTATCTCAAAGCAGCTCCTCCCCAGCCTACAGGCCACCTTCCAACCTCAGTTTTCCAGACACACTAAGGGTGCCTAACCATTACTGAGCACCAGCTGTGTGTCAGGCCCTGTGCCTGGCACTTCCTGGGGCCAGAACTGCCTAGCTCTTCTACCACATGGAGATTTTGTGGATTGGATTCCGCTGCTGTTTTGGGGTTGGGCTCTGATAGTTTGGCCCTGCCTTTCAGTAGAGAAGAACCGAGTCAGAAACTTGGCCCAATGACTTGAACAGTCAGGCACCTACACCCTTGACCTTCTTGGGGGGTTCTGAGCTCCCTGACTCAAATACCTCCAGCCACCAAGTGAGTGGCATAGACTGGAGAGGACCGTGGTGGCCTCTGTCCGTAGACCAGCTGCTTGCAGCCATGCCCTCTGTCCCTGAGGAGAAGGCATGGGAGACAGCTGGTACCTCAGGCAGCAATTCTGAAGTGTACTCTAGGTGGGGAATTCCTAGGATTTTGCTCCCCATTCCAGGGCTGGAGCTGCTAAAAAGAACCCTAGGGAACCTCCTCCCTTCTAAGCCAGCCAAGGTGACCAGAAGTAGGGCTTTCCAGGCTCAGTGTGTGTCACAAAAGTGGCAGGGATCTTTTCAGAGGCCCCCTTGATGTCAATACAGGTGCCCTGGTGCTAAGGCAGGTCCCTGGGTGGTGCAAACGGTTTGTACTCGACCACTAATTAAAAGGTTGGCAGTTGGAAACTACTCAGCAGCACTGAGGAAGAAGAGCCTGGTGATCTGCTTCTGTAAAGATTACAGCCAAGAAAACCCAATGGGGCAGTTCTACTCTGTCACACGGGGTCACTATGAGTTGGAATCAAGTGGACGACTCAGGGTTTGGTTTGGAGCTAAGGCTCTCTGTCCCTATCTTGGCTTTGCTCTATGCCTCTGTCTCTAAAAGTGATGGTGCACCATGCGATTCTC